ACTGCAATTGCTGGTGTTGTTTTCAATTCTTTTCTTGTATTTAAATAATTGTGCACATATTTCAGTAATAACAGGATAACTTCCAAGTTCAGCTCTAGAAGCAATATTACTTGAACGCCTGTGCACTCCTAATACACTCTTACAGATTTTAATGTGAAGTTGCTCAAATTGTGATCTGTCATTAAGATACATTAATGTCCGAATTCAGTTATGTCAGTGTATTTTAGTTTAACTAAAGTAAAAGCCACTTTCTCACTGGAAACATCACTATTGGTTTGGCATTTTCGTATTTCAGTGCAACAAGCCGAGATCAATTAGGTCATGAGAACTATACTGTCAAGTACGATTGTTGTGTTACACAATACCGTGCATGCTGGTAGGACCCTGCGATAACTGTGCATGATATAATATACGATGGAATTTTTCATTGGATTGTTAAGTAAAACCACATGTGTTTGCATTCAGCTATACATCGTTTAATGGTTCAGTCCAGTGTGTTCGCAGATCATTCCTCGTAGATGCACATGAAGTGATATTTCTGTCTAAAACAAACCTTGGAAGTCCAATTATGGAGGTTTCTATAAATAAGCCATAGCGATCATACAAGCGTATAAAATACATGTTTATTTGCATAAATTCTAACACGTGTTGTGTAACGACAACAAATACAGTGACAGATGACCAATCACTAGATTGGAGTAGAGATAGTCGGGATAGTTGCTATTTTATCTCGAGTATATCACAGTCCCTCTATTTATACCTCTCTGATAGAGGGACTATGAGTATATATAATATATTATGAATTTGAATCGAATACCCGTTGACGCCTTTTAATGAACTACTCAGTTTATAAGGTCGGGCGATTATGAACGTAACAGCTGTGTAGATGTATCACGGTGAATGATGAAGTAGTCTAGAAATGCCTCAGTGCAGTGTCTTAGACTAATATAACAAGCAACTGAGTCTCAATGGCACCGTCAATTTTCTTCGTTTATATTTAAAAAACTTAACACCAGAGGGCACCATAAGAATTGTCATACACATTGCATTAAGTAGATTTAATTCTGGTCATGTGTCAAAAATGTTAACAACAAAAGAGAAAGATAAAGGACTGTCTGAATATATGGTGACAGCAAGCTACACTCTTTTTTGTGCTATACATTGTGGAAATTGCAATCAATTTCTGTACATAGATATCATTACAGGGATGAGTTTTTTCGAAAGTCATAAA